TGGAGTGAGAACAAGAGGGAGAGAAACATCGATTGGTTGTCTCTCACACGCCAACTGGGGACCTGGCCCACAACCTAGGCATGTGCCCTGATTGGGAATTGAACTGATGACCTTTCAGTTGCAGGCTGGTGCTCAATCCATTGAGCCATCCCAGGCAGGGCAACCCTTTGTATTTCTGTGGTGTCATTTGTCATTTTCTTCTTTTATTCCTGGTTTTATTTATTTGGGTCCACTCTTCTTTTCCTTATGAGTCTGGTTAAAGGTTTATCTTTTCAAAGAACTAGCCATTGGTTTCATTGATCTTTTGTATTTTTTTATATTCTATTTTATTTATTTCTGTTTTGATCTTTATTAGTTCCTTCCTTCTAGTTACTTTGGGCTTTTATGCTGTTCTTTTTCAAATTCCTTTAAGTGTAAAAGTCAGACTGTTTTTTTGATGTGTTTATTGTTTTTTGAGATGGGCCAGTATTTCTATGAATTTCCTTCTTAGGACTGTTTTCACTGTGTCCCATGGATTTGGGATTGTTGTGTTCTTACTTTCATTTGTTTAAAAAAAATCTTTAGCTTTCTTCCTTGATCTCAGTGTTAACACATGGTCTAGTAACATGCTATTTACCCTCCATATCTTTGTATGTTTTTCAGTTTTATTCTTGTGATTGATTTCTAGTTTCATGGTCAGAGAAGATGCTTGATATGATTTTAATCTTCTTAAATTTATTTATACTTGCTTTTTGTCATAACATGTGATTTGTCCTAGAAAATGTTCCATGTACACTTGAAAAGAATACATTCTGTTTGTTGCTTTGAGGTGAAATGCTCTGAAGATATCAATTACATCCATCTGATCTAGTGTGTCATTTAAGACCATTGTTTCCTTGTTGATTTTCTTCCTGGAAGATGCATCTATTGATGTCAATGGTGTGAAAGTCCCCCACTATGAGTATATTATTGTCAACCTCTCCCTTTATGTCCATCAATAGTTGCTTTATAAAGGTGCTCCTATATTGGGTGTATAAATGGTTATATCCTATGGGAATGATTCTTTTATCATTATGTAATGTCCTTCTTTGTCTCTTATTATACCCTTTGTTTTAAAGTCTATTCTGTCTGGTATAAGCATTGCTACTCCAGGTTTTTTGTTTGTTTGTTTGTTTGTTTGTTTTTTCTGCATGAAATATCTTTTTCCATCCCTTTAATTTCAGTCTTGCATGTCTTTCAATCTAAATAAAGTAGGTCTCATATATATATATATATATATATATATATATATATATATATATGTATATATATATGTCTTGTTTTCTTATCCATTCAACTACCTGTGTCTTTTGAGTGGAGCATTTGATTTGCTTGCATTTAAGGTGATTATTGATAGGTAAATAGTTGCTGCCATTTTATTCCTCATATTTGTTTATTTTTCCCTTCTTTTTGAAGATGTCCCTTTAACATTTTTTGTAATACTGTTTTAGTGATGATGAATGCCTATAGCCTTTTGTTTTTTTTAAAAAAAAGATTCTAATTATTTATTTTGAGAGAGAGGGGAAGGGAGGAAGGAAAAGTGGGGGAGAGAGGGGAAGAAACATTGATGCGTGAGAGATACATCAATCAGTTGCCCCTTGCACACCCTTAGCTGGGGACCTGGCCTGCAACCCAGGCATGTGCCCTGACTGGAAATTGAACCACTGACTTTTCGGTTCACAGGTTGTCACTCAATCCACTGAGTCACACCAGCCAGGGATCCTTTAGTTTTTCTTGTCTGGGAAGTTCTTTATTTCTCTCTCAATTTTAAATAATAGCCTTCTTGGGTAGAGCAGTCTTGGCTGTAGTTCCTTGCTTTTTATCACTTTGAATATTTCATGCTAATCCCTTCTATCCTATGACATTTCTTTTGAGAAATCAGGTGACAGTCTTATGGTAGCTACCTGTCTTTTTCTTGCTGCTTTTAAGATTCTCTCTTTGTCTTTAACCTTTGGTATTTTAATAATCATGTATCTTGGTGTGGGCCTCTTTGGGTTCATTTATGCTTCCAGGACTTGAGTATCTTTTTTCTTCAACAGATTAGGGAAGTTTTCAGTCATTATTTCTTCAAATAGGATCTCAATGCCTTGGTCTTTCTCTTCTTCTGGTACTCCCTATGATGCAGATGTTGTTAGACTTGAGATTGTCCCAAAGGACCCTTAAACTATCCTCATTTTTTATTTTATTTTATTTTTTAAAAGATTTTATTTCATTTTAGAGCAAGAGGGAGGGAGGGAGAAAGGCAGGAAGAGAAACATTGATGTTTGAGAGGTACATAAATAAGTTGCCTCTCGCACACCCCCACCTGTGGACCTGGCCGACATCCTAGGCATGTGTCCTGAGTAGAAATCAAACTGGTGACCTTTTGGTTCACAGGCTGGCACTCATTCCACTGAGCCACACCAGCCAGGACAAAAGTATTCTCATTTTTAAAATTCCTTTTTCTCTTTCTTGCCATGTGACTTTTATATACCTTCAACTCATACACTTTACATGTTCTTAACTCAAATCCTACTGATGACCATAGGAGGTAGACACAGACATAAGTGAAGATACAGATGCTTTGAGAGGCTAAAAAACTGTGTAATGGTGCAGGGCTAAAGAGTGGTGATCCTGGACGGAAACTCATGTCTGCTGGCTCCAAACCTGTCTCCCCTCCCCAGAGATTGCCACGCACTGACTGCATCATGCACACCTATGAGTCACCCAAGAAGCTGGCAAAACCTGTCTCCAAAGCCATCCCAAGCCATGCCCAGGCATCTGAGTTCATTCAAGAAAGCTCTGTGACTTCAAACTATTTTCCATGGTGGCTCAGGGTGAGAATCACATTTGACACTATTGCCCAGTACACAACCAAGCATACCACATATGTATATGTAACTACTGAAGCAACGCAGTTTAAAAAATATTTATCCTTACAACATAATATGCACTGTGATGTTTTCTTTCCCATTCTATTCTATTTTATGTTTTAAAAGCTGGCTGTAAGCCACTAAATTGATTTCATGACCACCAGTGAATATCAATCACAGTGTGCACACAGTGACCTGGACCATTCTCATGCCTAGGGTTGGAGTCTTCTGGCCTTTTCTTTGCTGCCTTCTACTAACTCAGAAATGGCTGATTGGTAGCTAGTCAGAGATAATGGAAATGTGACCACACACCCTAAGAATAATAGCAAAATGCTTTTTATCTTTCTTTCACTCATAATCTCTCACAGTGGCTCCTGGCATCCTTGTAGGATGGGCTCCAGGGTACTCACAGCTCTTCCTCCCATCAGCACTCCTCTCTCCTCAGAGAGACAGAGCATTTGCTGCTTTTTGTGGACAGAATGCCGGCAATTGATTTCCATAAGTAAAGCCCTGCCTTTCTCCCATCTCCCAGCCTCTCAAACCCCTGCTCTTGCAGTGACAGGAGGACTTTCAGAGTTACCTTTTCAGCTCTTCAATATGTAAAGTGTGGCTGTTGAGGTCCCAGTCAGGTTGGCTAACAAAACAAATCCTCTGGCTTTCCCAGGCAGCCAGAGCCCGCCTTGTAATCTGTGGCTGCTTAAGGGAACAACTTTCTGGTGAGTTGAACAACCTACCGTCTATTTTAATTGTGGATAAACCATGCACCCTGGGATACTCCAGGCAGGGACAGAAAAATCCTAGGTCTGAGTGTGCAATACATGAGGATTAGTGGCATATATAAAATACTTTTTCTCCCTCTAATGCTGGCATGTATTGGCCCTGATCACTCATCTGGGGACTTTCTGGGATAAGCAGAGCCAGGAACCATCAGAAACAGATACACTTTAAAAGAAAAACACATCACAGCTCTGTTTTATTCTAAGGTATAAAGTAGTCCTAATCAAGGAAAATTAATTTGGATTACATAAGAGCACTTCACTGTCATTATCCCTCTTTGAATCCTGTACTCTGTCCTTACTGCAAAGAGAAGATTTCAACAGGTTTTTGTTGACGATGTGGGTGGATATGATAGCTACTCTCTGTCCTGATAGGATGGTGGGGGAGAATCCAGTACTAGTCCCATCCATAGGAGGAGATGTGTTAATTCACCAACACTGAGGGGCTGATCCTATACTCTGCACATGAACAATGGCAGATGGCAAAGAAATGTAAAAAGGTCCAGCCCTGTTGTCCCTATAAGTGAAACGTGGCTGTGCCTGTCTTGTTCCCTGTCACATCCCAGACCTAGCACTACGGCTGATATGCAGTAAGTGCTCGATAATCAGTTATTGAATGAATAAATGCATAAAGAACCTTTTGTTACCAGTGGCATCTCTCAAAGCATATTCTGTGGAGTGCAGATAGTGCTAATGCTCAGATAAGTCTGGTTAACAAGCTTTGTTGTTGTAGACATTATTAGACTCTTCAACATGCCAAAGTGCATTGTGTCTCTCTTGGGAGAAACAAACCTTTACTCAAATTCCTCAGACTACAGACCTCTTTTTCTCTAAATTTGTCATAAGAATGGTGTCATTTGGGAAATGCTGTGTTTCATCCCCTATCAACTAGTACCTTCCTGTGCCCTGCCCAAATCAAGGGGTGAAAGGGACCAACAGGACCAAGTTGAGAGAGGGCACTGAGGGCCCGGCTAGGCTTGCTCACTGGCTCACTGACTTCCAGCTAGACCAGTGAGATGTCCAATGATGGCACATCATAAGATTTTGTTTGAGAAGCTCAAAAATTGTAGAAATTGATACTATTTAATCCAGGTTTCAGTGTTCTATTGTCTAATTTTTTCACACGCTTATATCTGGTCTCCACAGATGTCAGAAGGATGGGCTTTTCCCAGGCTGCCCCTTTATGGGGAGACCTGGATGGGCCCTCAGGGCCAGGAAGCCCCTGGCATCTCACCTAGCAGCCCTGTTGTTTGGATCATCACAACCAAGGCAGTTTGCAAAGAAAAGGCACCAGCCCACAAGAGGTGAGGCAAGGCCAGGCTGAGCCTCACTAATAGAGGCAGACCCACTTTACCTGAAAGAAGCTGAACTCCCTCCAGTTGAGTGAGTTGGCAATGGATGGCAGTGAGGTGACAGCCAGCAGGGACAGCGTGCCAAGGGCCAGGACTCCCAGGGAGAGATATATCTCCATCCGCCAAACATTTTCCTCAACCCAGAGGTGACTCTTGTTGGTCAAGACCTGATGTGGACAGAAGGAAAATCATGAACAGTGCGGCAGTGCTTGGTGCCCTGGGATGTGGGCGAGTGAATACTTTCAGATGTAAGACAGAACAATGACTAACATTTCCATCACACAAAACACACACCTAGCTCCATTGTAAGCTCTTTCCAAGTATCGGATCCTCTAATCCTCACAGCCACCTCACAAGGTAGAGGTCCCTCTTTGTTGTAGACCACTCTGCCTGGTTCTAGGAATTGTATCTCGACCCCTTGTGGCTAAGGGCAAGGGACAACCCTTGGAGTGCCAGCCGCAGGAGACAAATCTTGTCTGGTAGCAAATGCTGGCTCAGTTTCCTCTCCCCGCCCCCAAACCTTGGTTGGAAGTCAATGATGGGTAAGACCCCTCACAGTGGGGGGCAACCTAAGCCAGACTCGATCACTTGGGAGGCCTTCATGGAAGGACTCGGGGGGCCTGCAACAAAGAGCAATGAACTCTAGCCCCCGGGCTTTGACATAGCCCGAGTCCCCATGTTCTCTAGGAGAAGCACTTCCTGGCTCTAATCTCCTTAAGCCTGAATACCTGTTGGGGAGAGGTGCAGCTCCTTGCCTTGCTAGAGTGTGTCCCGGGGAAAAATCTGGCATCACAAAGACCTCCTGGATAAACCTGTAAAATCTACTCTGCTAAGAGTGCTTTCATTCATATGTTAAGGGTTCCAGCAGGAAACACTAAAACTCTGTTCCTGACAGACTTGGACTCATACTAAACCTTCAGATTTCTTTGAAATGTTATCTACAGTTTGATCCTTGCCGCCCTGTATTCCTGTGTATTACAACCCAATAAAAGGCCCTGGAGGAGGCGGCATGAGGCCTTTTTCTCCTCGGAGAAACTGGCCGCTGCTGGCCTTTTTCCCCTGTGAAACTGGCCACTGCTCACTTCTCCTTCCTAAGCAGATCACATCATGTCCCAGTCATGATTACTCTCATCTGTGGCACTCGGGGGGACTTGTGAGGAAAGTTGCTCCCACACCTCTTACCCCCATTTTACAAAACAGGGAAGAGGCAAAAAGATAAAGTACCTTCCCCACGGTCACACTCAGCTGGGAGATGGCAGAGCTGGAATCAGGGCCCAGACAGTCTGGCTCCAATGGCATGGGCTCCCTTCCCATGGCTTTCACAGATCTGCCTGGAGCCAGTCAACCAGACTGGTCACATGAGCCAGGTGAGGGTCAGAGACATCAACAAGACATATAGACCCTTCAAACATGATCATATCATCAGTTTTCTGATCCCCAAAAGAACGGAGGAAGAAGCTCTCCTATCTCAGAATCCTTCAGCCAGATTCCCATGTTTGAGCCGTCCACTTGCTTTGCGGATGCTTTGCCTTCCTGGTCCCCCAACCAGCCCCCATCACTGCCTTGCACTTGGGGCACACAAAAACACACTGACACAAAAACCATCAGCATTTCCTCAGTCAGAGACTCTGGCTCCCACTTTCCCACCCAGATCCCCATTTGTCTGATGCATATAGCTTTGGCTTACTACTGTTAGGCAATAGAGACTGACAACCACTCAGTAAGCACACCAGAGAGCAGTTTTAAAGTACCTACTATGTGTCAGGCCCTGGGCTGCAGAGAGCCAGGCTACCTACCCTCACAGAGCTTTGAGACCCCCCTCTGAGCTCTAGGGACACTCAGATCTGAGACCAGTGCAGGCCTGGAGATTTCCAGCCCCTCCCTCACAGCCCAGAGTATCTTTGCAGCTGATCCCCTTGCCAGCCTGACCGACACACACATACAGTGCACACATGAAGAAAAATTTATCAAGGTCCTTTCACTAGAACTACCAGTTCCAAACTAGACCAGACAGCAGAGCTCCTGAAAGTCAAGGTGTTCTCTGAGAAACACCATGAAATACTGTGATTTAATTCTACCAGCAGAACAAGAACGAGTATTTCCATTAGGAAATATGATAATGCTTTAGTAGGCAGGCCTCTGCTTTGCAAAACAGAATGACTCATACAGGCTTTTGAGAAAGTATTTCAACAGGAAAAAAAGCCAAGCCCAGTTACCAGATAAAATATTAAAAATGAATCTACTGGGCTGAGCAAAATTGTTGAAAGCTTATGAGATAAAGTTTTAAAAAACTGAGAAAAAGCCATCTGTTGGGTACTTTTCATACAATTTGAGAAAAATGATTGCCTCTGTTCTAATTTGGACGAGCTGGCTCATTCTGGTGTCTTTAAGCCTCAAACGAACCAGGAGTCTAGGCACACAGCTTCTCATCCTGACCGTGAGTCACACTGGTGATTCTGGGCTTCTTTTTCTCCACATGAGAGAGTTGGGTGAGGTCATGTCTAAAATCCTATGACTCTGCTAGTGTGGCAAGCAAATGTCAGTAGCAGCTAGAAAGGTGGCTGATATTATCCCACAGAGGGCAGATGGCTGCTGCATAACTGGTCCAAAGACAACTTACTCACAACTTTGCAGTGTTAAAAACCACTAAGTAAGTCACCTCCTTGTTGCAAGTTGTTTGTTCTTCAAGTATACTTTATTAGTCACTGTTTTCTGCATTTTGGAAAAATCGGGCAGTTAATGTCACAAATTAGAGTTTGGATGATTACACACATACCACACAGTTGCCTGCAAAATGTCTTGTTTTTTCCCTCTCACTTTTGTACTCTGCAGGGATGCTGGGAAGGGGTGGGGGCAGTGGGTGGCATGGGAGCAAAGGATGGTGTGGAGCCTGCCTGAGGATCTGGATCCAGCTCCTTATGATGGCCTGTGAACCCCAACGCTGTACTCAGGGCTTCCCGGAGCCCAGTGTCACACACGGCTGGAACACAGAATTAGCAGCTCTCTATTCCCCTAGTAATTCTCCCATGTTTGGAGTTAACCAAGGTGGCCACCTTGAGAGTGATGAGAGTGTTGTTCATCAACAGAAGATGAAATGGTGGCTGGTGTTCACATGGGATTTTGTTTTCCTGTAGGTTGCAGGTTAGATGTTGAAGGTCCCAGGGCCAGGAAGACCAGCCGGGCTGCAGTGTCAGCCCCCCTCCCTGCCCCAAGGGTGAGTGATGGGTGGGAAGAAAGTGATGCCAATTCAGAGAAGGGGGAGGCAGGATGTGGAAGGGGCAGCCGGTAGTGGGAGCCGGGGGCAGGGAGAATAGCCTCATAGTCTCAAGACCTTGGTTCCAGTGCCATCTCTCTCCTGAGGGCAGTCATGGAATCCCAGCTAATGCAGAACAGCCTTAGATACCCAGTCTCCAAGCCTGAGTACAAGGCTGATTTGCAGACTATCCAGCACCTGTTTGAACAGCTCCAGGTCAGGCAACTCACCACTTTGGGTTGCTCTCTCTGCTCATGTTAATTCCCTGTCTTCTTCTAACCACCTCTCCTCCCAACATACCTAATCAACCCTGGCTCTTCCCTGCAGAAATCTGCAGAACAAGTTTAAGCCCCTTTTTGCATGGCAGGCCTTTGCTGTCTCTGAGAGTGATCTAGTGCCATGAGAGTGATGGTTGCCTGGCCACCTCCACTGGGGCCTCCAGCCCTAAAGAACTTTGGAACTGAGGGAAACTACCCGGCATGTGTCCTCTGTGCCCTGGTATTTGCATCATGGCAACATGGAGTTTAACATACTATCAAGGAGAGCCTTGGTACGGTGGAAAATTTAGAGAATGGCCATCGGAAGGTGGGGAATGAGTTTGCCATGGGTTCTGGCAGGGAGCAGCATCACCTGCTTCCCCACTCACTGCCTGAAATGCCTGCCACCCTGACCTGCCACCTCCTAGGCATCAAACACTATAGCACTTTTGAAGAAACAATGCAGAGCTGCCCTTTACAGAAGAAAATATCATCAAAGAGCATCAAAACATTAGCACTAGGAAAGACCTTGGTCTATACATCAGGGCTCTAAGAACAAAAGAGGGGGGGAGGTGACTTGTTTAAGGTCAAGGTCTTTGTTCCAATCAGTGATGCTTGAGGACAAGAGCTCAGGGCTCTGGCCTTCAGACCCTCCAGGGCTCCCCAGTCAGCCAAGAGAAGGAACAAGACTGTCTACTCTTATTCCCTTCTGTGACCCCAAGGCCTGGGAGAGTAGGTGCTCAGTGAATGAATGAGTTCTGGGATCATTTACTCAATTATTCATCTGTATTTGTTTTCCCTACAGAAAGCAGCATGGATATGAACATGGATCAACAGAATGACTGAATCTGAATCCCAGTTCTGCCACTTACTGACTGTGTGATTTTGGTCAAGTTACTTGACTCAATTTTCTCATTTGTAAAATAAGGGTGGTATAGCGTCTGGCTTATAGGGATGAGATAGGGGTAAAATGAATTCATACTGAAGCCCTGGCTAGTGTGGCTCAGTGGACTAAGCACCAGCCTGTGAACTCAAATGTCACTGGTTAAATTACCAGTCAGGACACTTGCCTGGGTCACAGGCCAGGTCCCCAGTTAGAGGCATGCGAAAAGCAACAGATTGATGTACTGTGCACACCGATGTTTCTCTCCCTCTCTTTCTCCCTCTTTTCCCCTCTCTCTAAGATCAAATTAAAAAAAAAAAAAAAGAATTCACGCTGAAGATGTTAAGCTCAGCAAGCTCTTTTGAAAAGGTTAGTGATTATTATTTTTCCCCTTCCTGTCATTTTCAGCAGTCGTCTTGCTTCTCTGCCTGAAGTTTGAGGTTCTCCTTTTTGCTTATGAAAGCCCAAGCCCACAGATACATGGTACTAGGTGTCCATGGGTGGGAAAGGACAGGGCATTTGAGAAGCTGCCAGCAGGGAAGCTGAGACTGAGTAGGGCTCAGATCTGTGGTTCACAGGCAGTGACCCAACATCACCTCCTGGTTCTGCTTTGCTGACCCCTTATTTTACTGAGTCTAAGGTAAAAGCCCTCCTTAGGGAGCCTTCAAGGCTTCCTTGATCTGGCTTCAAACTGTCAGGCCATACTCCTCTCTTCCTTGCACATCTCCAGCCACATGGCTTCCTGGCTGATCTTCATGTGTGCCAGACAGCACACACCTGAGGCCTCTGCTGCTCCCCTGCTTGCTGCAGGTTCACTCTCACCCCTGCCTTTGCTCACCTGTCACCCCTCAGCAAGGCCTCCCCGGACCACCCTTTAAAACTGAACCCCACTGCTCTCCCTGCTTGATTTTTCTCCTTAGCATTCACAACCTTCTGAAAATCCTCTATAACTGCTGTATTCAGTTAAGTCTCTCCTGCCTTGGCTGTGCTCATGAGCATAGGAATTTTCATATTTTGTTCACTCACACTCAAAACTTTAGGCTTCAGGACATGGGCACTGCCCAGTCATGGCATAATCACAGGCTAGTGACACAGATGAGACAATGACTGGCAGGCTGTAGCCACAGGCATGACTGGCCTTCATACCAGGCATTGACGTGGGCTATACCTGTTTGATGGCGAGGTTGACCAGATCATAGCGGTAGGAGAGGCGCACAGGCAGGCAGACGCTGTAGATGGCGTGCAAGGCAGCACAGAAGAAGCTGAGCAGGCCAATCTGCTTGCGGTGCTGCAGCCAGTGGTCCAGCCAGTCAGGGAAGCGGCGGTACTTGGTGCCGCGCCACAGCTGCAGGGTGGCTGCCAGTGTGCCTGGCAGGTAGACCAGCGAAAGCAACACATAGGCCACACATGGCAGTGTTGTGTTGACCACAGACAGGGGGAGCTTGTAGAACTTGTTCTTGCCCTCTTTCACGTAGGGCTGCAGCACATCCCGGATGAAGTTGTAGACGTAGAAGAATAGGAAGAGCCACAGGGCCAGGATGGTAGGTACCTTCCAGCTTGGGAGGAGGTGCAGAGGCATAGCCTCTACCTCCCGGGCTGCGGCCAGGGACCCCATGTCCACGGGCACAAAACCCATGGTGTGAGCCAACTCTGAGACAACACGCTTGGCTTCTGGCTGGTCACTACAGATGGGCACCTGTGGGAGGAAGGAGAAGGGGAATCAAACAGGCCACTGGCATAGGCAAGGCCTCAGAGAACATCAGGGCCAAACTTCCCACTGAGCAGCTGAAAAACTGAGGCCCAGCTATGCCAGTTAATGGTATAGCTGAGAGCAGAGGTAGCTCTGACTCCCAGGCCAGGTGTATTTCCTTGCCCTCTTGGGGTCTCCCAGACTTCGCTGGGCAATGCCCACTACTCAAGAAGAGCACCCAGGGCTTACCTAGCAGTGAACATTTTCCCAAGTTCATTACCATCAGCCTCCACCTAACCCCCCCCACCATGTGCCCTTAGAATAGGTGCTTCAAGGACTGTGGTCTGCCCTGAGGCTTTGCACGTGGCTGTGAATGTAGTTCTATCCCTCAGTCCGGAAGTGTCTCTTCTGATCATGTTTCTCAGCCCCCTGTGGCCCTCAGCCAACACACAAGGTCTTCCACAAGCCAGCCCCAGCCTCATAATCCACTGCTTCCCACCACGGGCCTTGCCAACACTGCTATGGTCAGTCTGGTCTACCAACACTGACCTAACACAAACTGTACTGGGCTTTACATCTGCTATCTCTCAGTCCTGCCACAGGCCTATAGATAGGTACAATTGTCCCAATTTTTCAGGTGAGGAAACTGAGGTCTGTGCCTTTACAGAATGTTTCCTCAGCCTGGAATGCCCTTCTGCTCCCTGTGCGTAACATGAGGTGGGCCAAGGCCAAGGTCAACCTCAAAGTCTTCCCTAGCCAGCTGCTAGTTCTCTTCCCTCCAGGCCCTTTCACCTAACACTCTCCCACTGTTCCTCCACTGTTCCTGGCCTGTCCACACACGTGAACCCTATGATGCAAGCTGCATAGAGGGCCCAGCAGACAGGGGTGGCCAGGTGCCTGCGTGCTCTCCCACAGCCTGGCATGGAGTTGTTCATAGGAGGCATCTGGTCTGAACTCACTGTAAGTTCTCACACACATGTAGATCCCAGCTCATTCCTCCAAAAAAATGCTTGGCCTCTTGATATTAAAAACTACCTTGTCTTGGTCAGAGCTCTTGCTAAGAACTGTATGCAGCTCTGGCTATTCTCTGGAGCCATTTTCCACCCTCAGAAATACCTGCTATTGACTATCTTGAGAAATCTATTCAGTTCTTGGAAGCCCTTGGAATAAACAAATGAATGAATGCAACACACACACTTCTTCAGGGCTTGGCATTTAAGTGTGCTACTTTCCCTCTTCTGAGTCAAATTTTAAAAGCGAAGTTTCTTCTCTTCTTGACTCTAGTCACAAAAAAGTCATCAGCCTTTTCCTCCTTGCCCCCTAGGTAATCAAGTTACCATAAAAGAAAGAATATGAATTTCAAATCCACAGGTTCTGGGTTCAAATCCCAGCTCACCAATTGTGGAATTTGGCATAAGTTCACAAACATCAAATTTCTCCTCCATGAAATAGAACTGTGCAGTGATGTGAAATGAGTTGAGTCAATGAGCACAAAGAGCTTGGTATTCTGAGCACCCTCAAGGAAAATTAGCCATTTATAATTATTATTATGATGGTTGTTATTCCCCCAGCACCTACCTGCCGGTTCCCATCCCTTGGGCCAGCCTGCAAGGTCCAGGCAGAGATGACATTGAAGGCCTTGACCACTGTGCAGGTAGGGAAGAGGGAGGCCAGGTACTCAGCATTGGACTCATGGTTCTGAAGGTGTTCCTGCTCTGTAGGATTGCTCACATCCACCAGTATCTTGCCGGCTAGCTGGTCGCTGAGACGACACAGCGAGGAGTAGTGCTCCCGGAACGTGGCCACGAAGATGACCTCAGGGGAGCCTACCGCCTCTGCCTGGAAAGTCACTTGTGCTGCTGATGGGAACAGCCCAACCATGCGTTTGGGGTTGCGGCTTCCCACCACCACGCTGAAGCCAGACCCCACCAGGCGTGTGGCCAGGGAGCGGGCAAAGTCCCCACTACCCAGGATGCCCACTTTGGGGGCTTCATTGGAGGCCTCAGCCAGGCTGCCATCACTATCCACCAGGCGGCGGCTGATCAGTGGCTTGTCCATCTCTCCTGGCATTTTATTGGCTAGAAGAGAAAAGAGGAACCTGGTCAATGCAGGGCTCCTGGACTGTCCTTCCAACACCTCTGACTCTTGTTCATTGTAACTACATGGTGCTCAAACATTCACCCAACAGGCTTTCATGAATGCTAACATGTGCCAGCATGGGGGGACAAACTGAATGAGACCCAGCCCTTTCCTGAGGAGCACACACATTCAGGAAGAAGAAGGGGAAGGACCTCTGCCCTCCACCCTTTGTCCTTCCTTGTAAATGATTTCTTTGAGACAAATTTGCAAGAGTGTGAGTGCTGAGAAAGAAGAGTATAGAATTTCCACAATCACACTGTGCAATGCCATGGTTATTTTCAAAAGAATTATGTGGTAGACAGTGTTACTATCCATAATGACAGTTAAACCCCAACCTCACCATAGCCGAGTGTCATCCTTGATTGCCAAGAGAGGTAGATATATTCCCCTGCTTGTTTACATTGTACATTTTGGAATGGTATCTTTGATGCTGTTCCTTAACTAGATGTTGAGTATAACATACCCCAATGTAAGCAACAAATGTCGGAAGCCTTCAGGAGTTTATGATGAAAATTTATTGGCCAAAGTTTCAAAGTTTTACCTGCGCAGGGGCGAACTCTCGGGGTGTCCGAGGACACGGTGCCAAATGGCTGCAGATGAGAGTCGCGCCTGGCGCTTACAGCCTGGGGTTTTTATTGGGGTGAGCAAGCAAGCAAATACAGAAGCAGACGTAGCTGTTAGCAATTGGCTATCTCAAGAGAACACACATGGCTATGTTCTCTGCTTGCAACAATGGATACTTTTCTGCAAAGACAAGGTCATGCACAAGGCAGTTTATCTTGTTCAGCACTCTTTGTACTTTCTGTACTTTCTATCTTCCTTGCTGAGTCTGGAGCCTGCCTCGGGTTCCTTTTGGCTACTTTTATCTAATTCCAGCCCTAACATTGAGCAGCTTGAGGACAAGGACCTCATCTTATTTGACTTTGGATCTCACCATTTGCAACAAGGCTGGTGTTCAGTATTCTCTGAATGAATGAATACGTAATGAAATCCCACTCTCTGGGAGTAAGGTGGAAGTGAGTCACGACATTGAATGGGATCCTGAGATTGGGTAGGTGCCCTGGGATCTCCTTCACTGAGCCTGAGGTATGAGTAGACATGGAGAAAACTCTGGACTCGAAGCAGGAGTTTATAGTAAAATTATTGGGAAAAGTTATATTTTAATTGTCGCCAAGTTTTCACCAAAATTTTCTATCTGTTTTATGCACAAATGTAAGCAAAAACCATAGGAGAAGTCACAGTGAGTCTGTCACCCATACTGACCAATGTGGCAGCACAAACTTAATTGTGAAAGTTTTCCAAATATTGCTTAAACTTATCACTAATTTAAAATCATTGTAAGTAAGATCCTCTAAATATACAGAGCATCTAAATATATAAATATATAAATATATAAATAGCAGCATCTAAATATATAAAGACAGAAAGTCAGTATGGAAACATTAGACAAGCCTATAGCCTCCTTATGAATACCTGGAACATTCTCCAGGAGAGATCATATGTTAGGTCATAAAACAAATCTTAACAAATTCAAGAAGGTTGAAATCATATAAAATATCTTTTCTGACCACAAGAATATGAAACTAGACATCAGTAACGGGAGGAGAACTGAAAATTTCACAAATGTGTGGAAATTAAATGATATACCCTGAACAACCAATAAGTCAAAGAAGAAAACAAAGGAATATTTTTAAAAAAATCTTGAAACAAATGAAAATAGAAACCCAAAGTTTTGTGATGCAGCAAAAGCAGTTCTAAGAGGGATATTCATAGCTTAATTAAGAAAAAAAGATCTCAAACAACCTAACTTTAACAAACTAATCCAAAGTTATCAGAAGAAAGAAACAAAAAGATCATAGTGGAAATAAATGAACTATAAGCTAGAAAAACAATAGAAGAAAATCAACAAAACTATGACAAATATTTTTGAAAAATAAACAAAACTGACAAATCTTCAGCAACACTAAAAAAAGAAAATAAATACAATAAAAAATAAAATAGGAGAAATTACTACTGATACTACAGAAATACAAAGAATCATAAGAGACTATAATGAACAATTATATGCCAATGAATTGGATAACCTAGAAGAAATAGATAAATTCCTAAAAACACATACAATCTACTAAGACTAGATCATTAAGAAATAGAAAATCTGACAGGCAAATAATGAATAAGAATATTGAATCATTAATTTAAGAAATTCCAAAGAAAAAGCCCAGGATTAGATGGCTTAATGGTAAATTCTACAAAACATTTAAAGAAGAATTAATGCCAGTCATTCTCAAACTATTCACAAAATTGAAAAGGAGGAAGCACTTCCAAGCTCATTTTGTGAGGTCTAGATACCCAAAATAGGAACACTGCAAGAAAAGAAAATTTCAGGACAATATCCCTGATGAACACAGATGCAAAAATTCTCAACTTCTGGCCAAGATTGAGGTGTAGGTAGATACGCTTTGCCTCCTCCAACAACCAACAGAAGGACAATAAATTTAAAATAAAAAAATAACCAGAACTGCCAGAAAATCAAACTATATGGAAGTTTGACAACCAAGGAGTTAGAGAAGAAACATTCATTTAGACTGGTAGGACGGGCAGAGATGGTAGCCAGGGCAGAGAGGACATGTGACACAGTGGCTGGAGGACAGGGTGGGTGAGGCAGCAGGTGATGGACTGAGTGGTCCGACATTTTGATGTGGATAAATTGGGAGGAATAAAATGGGGAGTGAGATAGACAGTGTGACTCAGGGTTTCAGTGTGAAGAAAGCAAGCCTCAAAACCTCTGGCTGTAAATATCTCTGGGAGTAGTGGCAGAGGGAGAAACTTCCATACTCATAGGAGAGTTCATTAGAGAGACCGGCAGGGTCCTGAAACATACACAAACCCATCCACCAGGAAATCCATATCAGAAAGCCCCAATTTGCTTGGGGGTAGTGGCAGAAGTGACTGAAAGCTGACCAAGAGCCAAGCAACCAGCATGCTCACAGAAATGGTGGAGTATGGTCCCAAAACACATGAAAAAGTAAAGGCTATGCACAACAAAATAAAGAAAAATATACAGGTAACCAACAGTGACAGGAAGAAGAGTGGGACTCAAATAAACAGTTTGGGCCAAAAGGAAGAAATAAACATTCAACCAGAATGAAATGAAGAAACAAGAACTTAAAAAATGAGGAGAGGCTTAGGAACTTCCAGAACAACTTTAAATGTCCCAACATCTGAATATAGGGGTGCCAGAAGGAGATGAGGAAGAGCGAGAAATTGAAAACTTGATCTGGCCAAGATGGAGGCGTAGGTAGACACACTGTGCCCCCTCGCACAATCAAAATAAGGACAACGACAATTTAGAAACAAAAAACAACCAGTACTAATAGAAAATTGAACTATATGAAAGTCCGACAAGGAGTTAAAGTAGACACATTCATCCAGATGGGCAGGAGGGGTGGAGCTGGGCAGCTCAGTGGAGAGGGGTCCTGGCAAAATGGTGGCTGGCGGACAGCCAGCTGGCAGATCTGCAAGGCAGCAGCTGGCAGATCCTGGGCATGCAAGAAGTGGCTGGAGGACCCAGTGCGGCAGTGGATTGCGGAGGGGCACAGCTCACAAGGTGGCCAGTGGACCAGGCAGTCCTGCATGCAGATGAACCAGATGAAACTGGGGAGCGAGACAGACCATGCAACCCAGGGCCCCAGTGCAGAAAAATAAAGCCTCAAAAAACTGATTGAAAACACCTGTGGGGGTTGAGGGTGCAAGAAACTCCCAGCTTCATAGAAGAGTTCATTGATGAGACCCGTAGGGTCCTAGAACACACACAAACTCACCCACATGGGTATCAACACCAGAAGGGCCGAATTTGCTTGAAGGAAGCAGGGGAAGTGACTGAAACATGACAGCGGAGCAAGAACCATTGCTCCCTCTTGGACCCCTCCCCCACAAACATCGTCACAATGCAGCAATGTGGGTTGCCCCACCCTGGTAAACACCTAAGGATCTTGCCCTCACTGCGTAACAGGCACATCAAGACAAAAAAAAAAAATGGCCCAAATGAAAGAACAGATCAAAGCTCCAGAAAAAATACAACTAAGTGACGCAGAGGTAGCCAACCTATCAGATGCACAGTTCAAAGCACTGGTAATCAGGATGCTCACAGAATTGGTTGAATTTGGTCACAAATTAGATGAAAAAATCAAGGCTATGCTAAGTGAAATTAAGGAAAATGCACAGGGAACCGACAGTGATTGGAAGGCTACTGGGACTCAAATCAATGGAGTGGACCAGAAGGAAGAAAGAAACATCCAATCAGAAAAGAATGAAGAAACAAGAATTCAAAAAATGAGGAGAGGCTTAGGAACCTCCAGGACATCTTCAAACCCAAATTATTGGGGTGCAAGAAGGAAAAGAGGAAGAGCAACAAGTGGAAAACTTATTTGAAAAAATAATAAAGAAGAAGCCAGCATCATCCTAATTCCAAAACCAGATAGAGATACAACAAAGAAAGAAAACTTCAGGCCAATATCGCTGATGAACATAGACACTAAAATCCTCAACAAAATATTGGCAAATCGCATCCAACAATATATCCAAAAGATTATACACCATGACCAAGTGGGATTCATCCCAGGGATGCAAGGATGGTTCAACATTTGCAAAACAGTAAATGTAATTCATCACATAAACAAAAGCAAAGACAAAAACCACATGATCATATCAATAGATGCAGAAAAAGCTTTCGATAAGGTACAACACCCATTTATGATAAAAACACTCAGCAAAATGGGAATAGAGGGAACATTCCTCAATATAATAAAGGCCATTTATGAGAGACCTACAGCCAATATCATACTCAATGGGCAAAAACTAAAAGCTTTTCCACTAAGATCAGGAACAAGACAAGGTTGTCCACTTTCACCACTTCTATTTTGCCGAAAAGGGAAGTTTA